ATCCAGGGTGGTGAACTTACAGTGCACCTTCTTCACTGCCCTAAGGATCTTGAATTCCACCATTTTATGGTCACTGCAGCCAAGACTGCCAGAGAGCTTCACATTTCCCACCAACCCTTCCTTGTTGGTGAGAACAAGGTCCAGCATGGCACCCCTTCTCATCGGTTCCTCAACCACCTGGAGAAGGAAGTTGTCCTCCACGCATTCCAGGAACCGCCTGGATTGTCACCACTGCTCAGTTAGCACACCTAGATACTTCTGCCTCCATCATTCTGATGAGTGAGCTCCTGGCTTGTAGAAGTGTGAAGTCACACTCTCAGGCTGATAACTCCACCCTATGCTACTCAATTCTGTCCTGTTTCTACTACTCCCTTCCTCAAGTGCTTTCCATGCAGCGCCTCAAGCACCCCTAATACTCATAGTATCTTCAAATAACAAATTTAATCATGAAGTAGATGAGAAAGAGCATTTTCCACTGCCCCTAAAGCTGCAAGCTTTCTTAAAATCATCATCCACTACCTATTACTTCAATCATCCCCCTTGTTTAGGAACTGCATGCTTGCAACCAACACAACACTTTCATGCATGAAAATACACTTAAAATCTGGCAGCACATTGCTTTGTGCCACAGGAGTTTGTTCTAGCACATCTTTTGACCCTTCAGTCTTTAAAGATACCTCAATTTCATTACTAAGGAAAAAAAAGCAAGCCTGTGGTAGGTCTGTCCCTGGCAGTGAAAGTTGGTATCAAGAAATTAAACTTTCTCAGAATGCACTTATCTTCCCTCTTTCATCTGTCAATCCCTACTGATAGGGCAGAGGCAATGATACTTGCTGTTCATTATAAAAACATTGTTTTCTTCCAAAAAACTTTGGCTATATTGTTTTCAAATGCTATTTTAGCACTTGCCTCTCCTACAAGTTTGGGCTCCTTTATTGATTTTGATGTGACAAATTCCCAAATTCTTAGGGGGTCAGTTTGGTTTAAGAAACTTCTTGCATCTTGATGCTCAGTTACATTACTTGACTTCGGATTTCAGCACTTATTTAGAGTTTTTTACTGTACATTTCCCATTCTCAAGCTGTCTCCTGAAATTGCATCCAAAACCACTTGGATGCCCACATTGCCCACAAAACCATACCTACTATACGCTTGGTGTGTACCAAGACCAAGCATTTGGTACCATCTCCTTGGGCTTCTCCTTAGCACATCCATGTGTGTGTCTTTTCTCCCAGGTAACTAGTGGTAGAAGAAGAGGCAATGGTCTTAAGTTGTGCCAGGGGAGGTACAGATTGGATGTTGGGAAAAATTTCTTCATGGAAAGGGTTATCAGGCACTGGAATGGGCTGTCTAGGGAGGTGGTTGAGTCACCATCCCCGGAGGTGTTTAAAAGACGGGTAGATGGGCTGCTCAGAGATATGGTTTAGTAGTGGATAGGTACGGTTGGGCTCGATGATCTCGGAGGTCTTTTCCAACTAAGCGATTCTATGATTAAGGCGAAGACCTCTACAGTAGAAATAACTGTTTTGTACAAAGACCCTTTGAAAAGTGGACACTGACTCTTACTGCAAAAGAAAGGAGGTACCTGGACTCTTGAAGCTGGTAGCAACTGTTCAAATTGAACACACATCCCAGGCCCTGCCTTGCATGGGCAGAACAGCTCCAGCCTGCCTGCTCTCTGCTGAAGGGCATCCCTACAGCGGAAAAAGAACACAACAGCGTCAAGGCAATCTAAACAAAAGCCTTAATTTACTAAAATTGTCTAAACTCTGTCTTTTGAGCCCACTGTGCAGATGGCCCACTGTCAAATCTGTATGTCACTTCACTGGCTGCAGCGGTAATAGCCTGAAAGTACTATTTGAGATAATAAACATGACAACATCCCGAGACACAGGTCACAGCCCCATTTGTGTCTTGAGGCTCTAAAAATCTGCTCTGCCTGCGAATCCGTTACGGCTGCAAGAGCTGGGCGTAGCCTTGTACCTGGGTGACAGCCTGCCTCAGCCTACCAGCACACATGGCAGCTTGTTCTTCTGCCACTCCACGTTCCAGCCTGCACCTCGGGGATGCTTAAAACTAATTTATCATCCAACTAGGCACAGCATGGGCTTAGTAGCTGAAAGGGCTGACATTTCTACTTTGGTACAGGGATGGCTTTAAATTTGCTGCCACAGCTTAAAAGAAGAAACTGAGTAGGGATAAATGCTTCTGCACATTTTCAGAGTTGGAGCTGGAGCACACAAGGGCACCCGAGGCACCTGCTCAGCCTTGTCTGCACACCACTGCCTCCAACATTACAGGCTCCTGTCTACCCTGCTGAAGCCTTGCAAAACGAGAACTAAACTAAAATTCTTCCATCTACTCTTTTTCCACACCAAATCAAGCTAGGAGACAAATGTGGAGAGGAATGGAAGAGAATAAAAAGGCAGGCAGACCTCATCAGAAAAGTGATGACCAACACAGGGAAGAAGATGGAAGGTCCTAAAGCAAGTTCTCCAATACAGACAAGTGTCATACCTTTTTCTCAAATTGAGAGGTGGGCACATTTCCTTTCTTACCTCCTGTAAAATTACCTGATGAAAGTTTTGTAGCTTACATTCCCTGCAAAAAATGTATATTTTGTTAAAATAATGGAAAGCAAAATACACAGGAACATCACACTTGGAGGGCTCTATCTGTGCAGTAGCTTCTGCCAGGTGAGAGGGAAATTGCTTGAAAAAACATCATGGTGCTTCCCACGGGAACAGGAATCTTTTCTGCCAGTACCACAATGTATTTCTGCACTCTCAAGTGCTGCAAATCGAATCAAAACAAAAGTGCATGAGAGGCAGTTGCAGCACCTTTTTCATCTGATTCCAATAAAGGATGGTAGAGGTCAGCATTGGCTTTGACCTTCAATGGGACACTATGAGTTCACAAGATACTTGAAGTAGCCCATCAAGCCTACTTTGTTTTGCATTTTCTAGGGTAATGTGAAATATGCTTCTGCAAACTAAGTGCATATCACAGAATCACACAGAATCACAGAATGTCAGGGATTGGAAGGGACCTCGAAAGATCATCTAGTCCAATCCCCCTACCAGAGCAGGAACCTAAATGAGATCACACAGGAAGGCGTCCAGGTGGGTCTTGAATGTCTCCAGAGGAGACTCCACAACCTCCCTGGGCAGCCTGTTCCAGTGCTCTGTCACCCTCACTGTAAAGAAGTTTCTTCTGAAGTTTAAGCAGAACCTCCTGTGTTCCAGCTCACACCCATTGCCCCTTGTCCTACCATTGGGCATCACTGAGAAGAGTCTGGCTCCATCTTCCTGACATTCACCCTTTACATATTTATAAACATTAATGAGGTATGTACACCTTCACCTTTACAGGAAGAGTGTTTAAGGTAAGCGCAGTGTAATTAAATGCCACATAGTGCATCTATTTTCTGTACTCCAGTCTTAGATAGGGCTGTTTCTAGCCATCAAACATTCTTAAGTCTTTTAGAGACGGAGATTAAAATAGGCTTTAACGTAATTGGAAGCAATGATCTAATACTTTCAGCTTAAAGGCAGCATTATTGTAGCTATAAGACAGGTGAGAACGCATTTAAATGCTGAATAGAACAGGCTCATCAACTCTTGCTCAGGTTCAAGTACTAGCGTGTTTAAAATACATGCTTTTTTTTAATAAGCAAACATAAAATCACCAGCGGCATTAAAAATAATAGTCACCATGTCCCTTAAAAATGTTCAACAAGTGAAAAACTTAGGAAGACAAAACTTTTGCCTGGATCACATAGTTTAATAAGAATCAAGCAAATGGTAGAAATTTTTCATGTAATTTATATTTGATACAGGTACATACACACTAGTGTGGGCACTTACAAAAATATAAATAAAACCCCCTCACATTTTCTTTGACAACAATTCTTTAAACGTAGTATAAGAACATTTTACTGAATGCTTCTGTACTAGGCATTATAGGAAAGCATTATAGTAAGAAAGCTTTGTATTTGAATGGAATTGCTATTTAGGCCTTTGCTTGAAGCCAATACAACTGTCATTAATCACAAGAGATGTGAGACAGGACTGCTGTTAAACTGCACAACATTCCGCCTCAGTGTGCTGGTTCCAAGCGGAGAAAAAGGATAAGAAACTAATATAAACCAACTGTCAAAAAATTTAGTGGTTCATAACTCATTTTCAACCTGAATGAGAGCAATGAAAACAAGCTGCTTTGCAGCAAGCCAGCATCAAGGTTAAGCTATGGATTTCTTTCCCACCCTCTCTGAGCAGAATTCAAAGCAACAGTTCAGGTTTAAACCCCGAAGAAGTAGGGAGGTGTATATAGAGACAGTCTGAAGCTTTAGCAGTTTCAGTTTCACATGGAGGCCTCCACAGGCTCCCTAAACATACCTGACTGGTGTAATCCAAAGATCCCACACAAGATACAAACTTCTCAAACTGAAAACAATTCTTAAAAAATTGAGCCCAGCCTTGCCAAGTCTCTAAGAAGGCCCCTGAAATCTGTAACACCCAACAAAACATAACTGCTTGCTGCCCTGAAACTCATCAAGTGTGAAATACCCTCAGGCTGCTTCATGGGATTGATCTTCCTTGATACCTACCAGAATATAATATATGCACTAGTCCGCCTTTGTAAGCAGCAGGCATTTACGAAATGCTGTTAGTCTCATAAATACAGGTATCTAAAACTGGTCATAAATAACTTCCTGGAAGTTTTTTACTTCTTTTCATCAACCAGAAGGGGACCCTTAAATGACTAGACTTTTTGTCTAGAAATTATCAGAGGAAACCTACACTAAAGATGGAAAAGAGATAGAGTTTAGTCTAAGTCCAGATCCACACCAGAGGCTGCTGTGATAAGAAAGCGATTTGGAAAGTGGAGGTAGACAGACTCCCAGGAAGCAAGCCATTTAAAGAAATTCCAGATGTGTATTTGAGGGACTAGGGTAATGGTGGAAAACCCCATTTATAATGAGGAAAAAGATATGCAGACAGTTTTCTTCAGTTTAATATCAGGTGGTGTTATAAACTGCTAAAACCAGACATCTTCACATTATTACACTTGATGCACCAAAAAACAGGTTTATGTTACAATGTAAGATTCAATATTATAAAACTTGCAGAGAACTTTAAACAGAAGTCTATTTTTTACCCCTTTTATTCACATCCAAACCAAATAGTTCTTATCTGTGTACAAATGGAGTATTTTCTTCCATCTTCTACAGCTGCCTTCCAGTCAACCATTTCTAAACATCAATACCAACACTGGCAGTGGGAAACCAGCTAGAAAGTGCCACCACTGTCATTTGCTCAAGACACACACACTTCTTGCTGGATAGCCGGTTGTGGAATTTTACTATCCTCTGACTTTTCCTGCCCAGGAACTTGGCACACAGTCTTTCGTTTGAATAACCGTAGACTCAACCGCAACAGCTCACTGTCCATGGCTGCAGAATTTGTATAAGTTTGTTTTGTTGCACCCTGTTGAAATGGAAAATAAAATTAAAAAAAACAAAACAAAACAAAGAAGTGAAAACAGTGGCCTTTAACATGCAAGCTGAGAAATTAACCTCAAGTACTCAGTAATTAGATGTTTAATCATACATATTCACTAGAAAAGACTTGGAGAATTAATGATTTTTCTCTTAGCATGCAAGATCATAAACCCTACTGTAGTGCAAGAAACTGTGAAATATTTTTTCTTTTAATTTTGAAAAGAAAATTATCTGGGTGCTTTTATCTTGGAAGAACAGAATCTTACAATTCTTATAAAAGTACATGGAATCTTAAATAAGAGAATTATTCAACAATTGTCTTTGAAATTGTATCTTAACCAATTATTTTTATCATGTAAATGTAGAAAGTATCTCCAGAATTTAAACCCCAAAATAAGAAACAGCATTTACCTCTAGTCTCAGTCTTCAACTAATCTCTCATCCTAAATAAAAAATAAACACCCCACAAGCTCCTCCAATAAAAATGTATTCTCCGTTATTTAAAGGACTAGGTTTGCTCCAGAACAACAAACAACAGAAACAAAAATTATCTCCCTAGAGAAATGTTTTACATAGTGGAATCTGTGTTTCCACATTTTGACCAAGCACTGTAAACAAACCACTTGCCTTTTCATTCTTCATCAGCTGCTTACGAATTGCAGAATCCCGTCGAAAGCACAGCGCTTTACAGCAAGGACCCAGGTTACTGAGAAGACCTGCTCTCTCTTCTTTGCGTAGAAGCGCAGCCATGTTCAAAGCCCCCAGTTCGTGTTCAAACAGGTTTTCTGCATCTACAAAGAATTGATATTTGCAGAGATCAACATATACATACTTTGGAACAGCAATATATAGTAATATGAAATCCCTTGGAGTTTTAATATTTGCATTTCTGCCTTCTAAACAATACGTTTTAGAAATAATAAAGTTTTAGAAACAGTAAGTTTTAGAAAAAAAGGACATTGCAGTTTATAGAAAAATGCAAATAAATCCTTCACCATTTAAAGGGAAGGACAGGTACCCTTGTACGGAGCTTCAGCACTGGAAAACAATATTGAGACAGCAATCACCAAGAGGCCTAAAAATCAAGTGACAGCTCTGGGATAGAAGAGGGGATATCATTTATGATCAGACATGCGTGATGAAAGCAGTTTACTACCACAAAGTGATCTAAATTTCACTTCTCTGCACAGCATAGGATAACTGTAGCACTGTCAAAACAGGGTTTGTATGGCCATGCAGAAGTGAAATACAACTGTGTAGAATAATTCTTTTATCCGTGGCGGATGAACCTGGAGAACAAGTCAACAGATGTTAATGAACTACCCGCTCCTACCGGCTCATCTAAAGCATTTGTTAACAGTACTGAAAGTGGCAGGACAAGCCCTTTAATACATTCATCAGAAGAACCAGCATGCAGCTAGAACACTTTAACCAGAGACGGCTCCTGAGGTGAGACTTGTTCTGTGACATCTTTTCTTCTACAAAATGTAGACAAAACCAAAAAGAGTGCACATGGCTGGACCGCAGCTCATTTATTTCTAACTCTTTTACAACAAATAAGAAGATTATGATGTAATTAAAAAAACCAGTAAGGTATGGGAGCTAAGTCCAATACAGCCAACTCTATACAGTAAAACATTTGGTGTTTAGCAGAGAATTTAACACGTAACTAAAGACACCAACAAACCTGGGGAAAATTTAGCAGTTAAAAGCAAAGACTGCTATAGCAGTTTGGCAGAATGCACACAGAAGAGAACAAAGCTACATTTTTAAACCACTCAGTGAATTTGTGATGAAGTTCAGTAGGACTAGTTTTCAAACAAGGTGAAAAAAACCAGAACAATTACATGAAATCAAGGGCAGGTTAAAGAGAACTGCAACAAAGTCACCAAGACAACCTCAACGGACAATCAACACCACAAATAAGTGACAAGACACAAAAAGGTCACTTCAAAGGCCACTTGTGTCCCTCAGGGTTCAATTCTCGGGCCAGTCCTGTTCAGTATATTTATCAACGATCTGGATGCAGGAGTTGAATGCACCATTAGCAAGTTTGCTGATGGTACCAAACTGGGAGGTGCAGTTGACTCTCTTGAGGGACAAGAGGCCTTGCAGAGGGATCTGGATAGACTGGAGCATTGGGCTGTGATTAATGGGATGAAATTTAACAAGTCCAAATGCCAGATTCTGCACCTGGGACATAGTAATACCCGGCATAAGTATAAACTGGGAGAGGAGCAGTGACAGGATGCCCGTAAATGGTTCCAAGCTGCACCAGGGGAGGTTCAGAGTGGACTTTAGGAAGCATTTCTTTACTGGGAGGGTGGTCAAGCACTGGAACAGGCTTCCTAGAGAGGTGGTCGATGCCCCAAGCCTGTCAGTGTTTAAGAGGCATTTGGACAACGCCCTTAACAACATGCTTTAACTTCTGGTCAGCCCTGAATTGCTCAGGCGGTTGGACTAGATGATCACTGTAAGTACCTTCCAGCTGAAATAGTCTAGTCTATTCTATTCTAAAGTTGGTAATACTGACAGCTTGTGAAGTCTGCATATGTGCCAGATGCTGAGCATATCTGGCAACTAGGCACGTCCATATCCTTAGTGGAAACAACTGCATGTAATAGATAGAGGATAAGTCAGCTACAAACCTCAATTCCATCACATACTACAGATTTTTGTTTACAAAGAAAATTAATTAAAAAAACATCCCTGAAACAAGTTATCATTTCCTTTTTTCTGCATTTCAGTGTATTGCCAGAAACTTTTCATCCACAAATAAGAATAAAGAAGCGAATGCCAAACTCAGGAATAGAACAGGGAAACAAGCTATACCACCATGAAGAAGTCTAAAGTGAAAACACTGTATTTTCACTGTAACGCACAGGGAGTATCTAGCTCAAAGTAATTCACTTACAGGGTACCATATTTGTGCCTTTGTTTAGAATATATGTGCTGTGACAGTGTAATCACTATTCAAGGAAACTTCACCTAGCAGATTACAGAGGAAATGCATACACTTGAAAGCTTACTGGCAGTTCCATGTATAGCAACTTTGATGTGTGAGAGACTGCACACACCAAAGGGAAATCAACAGAGGCACTTCAATCCTCTTTCCTCTCCAGAGCAAAGTTTTGCTGAATCTGAGTACACTTAAGACAGCCCAGAGGCACTGCTGGAGAGCCTCCTATTATCACCACTATCACCACTCCTCTGCACTTTGTTTATTTCTAGAGAAGCACGCAAGGTTATTTCAGCTATCATTTTAAATAGCCAGATGGAGTGATTCTGCACTGCAGTTCCTATTGCAATGAATCCCTCATAAGAAGCATTGAAGTATAAAGCAAAATTAAAGTTTACAAGGAGAGAGATATAGTTCTTAGTTTGCAAACTGAGGAAGACTCAATATTGTATCAACTACATTGGTTATGTCAATTCTTAAGCATAAGATCCGAGTTGTTTTTTGTTTGGTTTTAAACTAAAGGAAAGCTAATACTGCATACATAGAAAGAGCTGAAAATATTGCAGTGGGACACTTACAGTACTTACTAATACCAAGTACACACCTCAAATTATACTATGATGCATTAAAAATTTTTGCATTTAATTTGACTTTAAAAAAAGTAGAAGCAGTAGCAACAGCCCTGATTAATAGTTATACAATTTAAATGGCCCAAACAAGCAGTGACATTCATGGAGATTAACAGGGCTGGGAAAAGTTTGGTTTTTTGGTTTTTTTTTTCCCCCTCTCCACTTATCTGAGACTGTAGTGTTAACAAGACAACTGCATGAAGAATACTGTTGCAAAGAATTAAAAATTATTGTTTCAAATTAGGAATGAGAATTTACAGAGTAAAAAAGATACCAAAAAACCCCAGAAAAATGTGCTGAAAGTAAATGTTTCATAGCCCTAAAAAACCAATTCTACCATGCAAGTAGTTGCAAGCAGCATTCTCTCTCATGCAAAAGCCCTGCTTACACTACAGAACTGTAGTAAACAGCACTGGTATAATTCATGCCCGTCCCATCTATCATGCAAGTCTTATACCACATCCTTTGTCCAAATGCCAGACCTATGTATTATTTAACTTCTCACTTCTAGCAGAGACATAATATACAAATTTCACTGAGATACTACATTCTGATCCAAAATCCTATCTATGCATTCTGGAGAGGATCCTCAGAAGGAACATAAGAGGACAAGCAGAAGACCTTCAGAGAAAATAAGAAATCTTGTTTCTTTCTCACAATATTACTGCTAATTCACTACAGAAGATATTTAACTCTCCAAAAACTGCTGACATACTTCAGGCCAGCAAAGTATGAATGGTCTCACAAAAAGAGTGTTCCACTAGGATGAAAAAAATTGTTTAGGCTTTTTTTTTCAAGATCTCCTCATGACTGCTGGAATTAAAACCCAAATTTGATTGACATACAGCTGTATTACATACCTGTAATTTTCACACAATACTCATTATACACTTTCTCTGGTCTTGAAACCTAAAATAATGAACTAATGCACATTTCATAAGGACTTCCACGAAGTACAAAAGACACTTTAATCCCTGCAGAAACAATTACCTTTAGGTTTTTCTAATGCTCTCTGGCAAGTCTCTTTAATTTTGGTGAAGAGTTCTGGTCCTGCCAATCGCTTGGAAATGCCAACTCTCAACATAACAGCACCTGGTGTGAATTTTAAGAGTGCAGCCCCAGGCTCCCGTGGTTCTTTTGGCTGCTTTGGCATGAGACTGGACCAATCTACATCTATAACATCCACAGGATCTGCAAAAACATTGACAGAGAATGAGTTATCATATCATCATCCCTTACCACAGCTGATTAATTTCACATGCTGTGTACATCCCCATCTCCCAGAAGCAATATATATTGGATGAACGTTGTTCTGCAGTTCTCAAAGCCAGATCCTTGGACACTTCAGGTAAGAATATCAAAACTCACTTAGACTGGTACAGAAAAGGAGCATACAAATATAAAGCTCTTGGATTAAAAAAACCCACCCATAATATTCTGCTTCATTTTTATTGCAACCCCTTTGTGGAAGGCTGCTCAGATTCTGCTTAGCCAGCACATTTGGATACATCACTTACTCACAAAAGTCACAGTACAACTAAACGTGCTACGACAGATCCAAACGAAATGCTTAAAAAGCCAGTTAGTATTTCAGCTCTGGCTGCTGCATTTTTTTTTTTTTCCAAAGGAGAGGTATAATGTTTATTGAATAACCATACAACTGTGTCTAGTGTGTTTAGCACAGAAAATACAAACACTGATCATACTAGCCCAGATGACCCAACTGAACTTACAACCAAGTAGAAGATTCTACACTTCCCAAAGCATTTAGGAAGCATTCAAGAAGCATTCAAGAACAGATGAAATCTGTTCACAAAAATATCAGTTCCAAACAGTGATCAAAAGCAAATGGGATAAATAAAGACATGTTTACAAAAACAAAAAGCTTACCTTTCTAGCTATACAAAACAAGATAAATAAGTATTAGTTCACAATACAGCTCCCAGTACTCTTTACTTACCTCTATACTTCTCAGGCTTACCTGATTATTACAGAACAAATGAGAAATACCAAAGAGCATACAAATTGCATTTCTAATTCAGAAATATTGTCAACATCACAATACCATTATATGCAAACTGATATAATCTTTATATTCAAATAATTATAAAGGAGTTTTGCTATACTTTTACCAGGCATCTTCTCATCCTCCTGTTGATCCTCCCGCTTTTCAGCATCACCTGCCAGAATTTCATCCAGTTCATCATCACTGATAGGCTCATATTCTCCAGCACCAGAACCCAGTGACTGTACATCATCAATCTTTGCTTCATCTTCTCCTCCTACAGAGACAGATACACACTATAGCTTTAAAGCAATCATTCTTTTTTTCTAAATATGCTTTAAGCAGCCTGAAAACAGAGAAGTTCAGCAAACTAAAACTGTTAGTTTTTGGGCACAAGTATATTCAACATGAAAACAGGTATTAACTCATGGAAACAGAGAAGTTATGTCTCGTGTACACAATGTGGCAGTTTGAATTTTATGCATCTTGTTCATATTTTTTTTTGGTGCAATATTAGTCAAACTGCACACAAAAGGCCATATTCAGAAGAAACTAAGTTGATTATCTGATAAGTAGTTAACACAAATCTAAGTTAGCAACACAAAGTCTTTCAGATGCTTTTGGACATGAATCCAAACTCAGGATTCAGTCTAAAGGCTTTACAAGAGAAAGAAGTAACAAAACTCCAAAATACAGTACGGTGCAAGATATCCTGAATGAAGCAATTATTCGCAGAGCTTTAGACTCTGTGGAAGTCACATGAGGAGCTTTTGTCATGTTTGCCATGACAAACTTCTTTAGTTGTTGTTACACTCCTATCCATCCATATACTATATGCATATATAAATACCTGTGCTATATGTGTAAACATGTTCCTTAAAACCTGTAAACACAAGACACCCAAATGCTGCATTTTGCAGTTCATGAAAGGAACATCTGAAGCTACTTGCTAACTCCAAGACTGAAAGATCTGATTCAAGCATTCAGAAATCCTACTGCTCAAAACTGAGGCTTTCTTAGGGTACTGACTTTCTGAGTATGCTAAGAAAGTACTCAGTACTCACGGTACTTGCAGTGAGTTGTGTCGCACAAACTACACAGAATGTACAAGGGTCCTCCCCTGTCGATGACTATTCTAGTATCTTCCAGCTCCCTTATCCAGAAGGGAAACTGCCTCTGTTTTAAGTTGCCCCCATTTTTTTTTTCTTTGCTTGCCTTTGTAAAAGCTACAGAGGAGGAAGGGAAACAATAAATCACCTCAACTAACCTAAAAATCAGCATGGAAAAAGCAAGTAAAAGACATGCTAGCAGAATGTAAATTAACTACTCAGTCCACCTGGCTTTGGAGGAAGCATACAGCATCTTGGGCATTATTTAAGCCCATTCCTAGAGCAAAAATATTAAGGTTCAAGATATCACAATAATTTAGTAATTGTATCCTCACACATTTTACTAGACAATATACTACAGTCATTTGTCCAAGTAAATACCAGATACCTCCTCAACATCACAGAATGTCAGGGATTGGAAGGGA